AATTATAGCATGTTACGTACCCTTTATTCTAGGTACTAATTAATTAATCAATGAAGCATTAAATAAAGTTACATACAATTACCTTTTGAGTAATTTGATTATGTAATATCCTTTACAACGTCAGTGTATAGAACTTAAACTCTTTCTACTTTTATCTTTCTAAAACAACAAAAACTAAAATTCCATATAAATAGTTTAAGTTAGGTCCCTTTTTGTATTTCTATATTTTTATTGCAAAAAGTTGGACACTATTTAGCTTATTAAAAAATGTACTACAGTCAAACCTCTCTATAACAGCTTCGTTTGTTCCGAAATTTTTCGGTTGCTATAGTGAAGTGTTGTTATAGAGGACATATATTATAACATAATATAATATCCAGTTCCGAGAAAAACTCGTCTTTTACAGTGAATGACTATTATATAAGAATGTTGTTATAGAGAAGTCTTATATTATAAGAATGCTATTATAATTTAGTCGATTTCGAATTCCTAAATATTATGGAAATAATTAATGATTGTTCCTAAATATAAGAAAACAATCAAAATGACTATTTTGTCCATTATAAAATTTATTTTTAAAAGATAAAAAAAGCAAACGATATTTTGTTAAAGGTCTTCGTGCTTTTAAATAAATAGATTATAACATATTACTTTCCCTTTATTCTAGATACTAATCAATTAAGCATTAAATAGAGTTACATACAAGTATCTTTTGAGTACTACCATCGTATGACGTAAGAGCAAATGATGTAAACCTAATATATTATTCGAAGGGAATAATTCAGTGATGTACTTTTTTGGTACTGTAAATTTTGTGCACAGATTGAGCTTAAGGCACCTAAAGAAGTTGCAAGTCAATGCCCACTAAAGTCTTTTAAGTTTTTCAAGACCAAGGAAATTCCTACTGGCTTTTATGAAATCAAGACTGGTCATTTGAACACGCGTACCCCCTGGTGGTAAGATTACATACTAAAATGTTACATTTTTACATAAAATATTATGCTTATCAAGTAACATGTAGTTGTACATGAAGGGATGGAAGTTCTATTTATGGAAGCAATGCAGAAGTTTTAAAGAAAGTGAGAACATTTAAAGATGGAAAGCTGAAACTATCAGCAGATGGGCTACTCGAAATAGACAAAAATGGGAAAATTATATCTGGTGATGTTCGTAACACTTGGGCTGGACTTTCTGCACTACAGGCTCTCTTTGTTCAAGAGCACAATTCTGTTTGTGATGCCTTGAAGGTACTAATCATATTAGATTTTAACTTTTAATTATACACTAAAAATATGATATAATTACAGGTAACAATCCAACAATAGTAAAATTACAACAACAACCCAATAGAATCCCACCAGTGGGGTCTGGGGAAGGTAGAGTGTACACAGACCTTACCCCTACCCCGGAGGGGTAGAAAGGCTGTTTCCGGGAGACCCTCGGCTCAGAGATAATAGATCCGTAACAACAACAGAAACCAGAAAAATAATATCGGCAACGTGAGAGATAACAGCTAAATGGGAAAGCAATAACACAAATACTATGCAAAAGTGTGAAACGCAACATAAATCGCTAGCAGTCCTAGACAAAACACTATCAGACTAGCCGGTACAAAGAGGAAAAACACTCGACTACCCCTTAACCTACAACCATAATGCTCGACCTCCACACCTTCCTACAACCCTAATCCGTAATAATAGTGAAATCAATAACCTAAAATTTAAAAAGATTACCTCCTAGTACTGCTTAAAATCGTCGATATTATTATTATTATTACATTTGCGTCTTTCTTTAACTTGATTTGTTATATATGTTGCAGAAAGAATATCCAGAATTGGAGGAGGAAGACTTGTATCGTCATGCAAGGCTGGTCACTTCTGCTGTTATTGCAAAAGTTCACACAATTGATTGGACTGTTGAGCTTCTCAAAACGGATACCATGCTTGCAGCAATGCGTACCAATTGGTTAATGCTCCCTCCCTTATATATACTAGTACTAGTTTTTGTCGTACTTTTATATTTATTAGTTGTTGTCTGACTAATAATCTTAATTACATTACAGGTATGGATTACTAGGGAAGAAGTTTAAGGACACATTTGGGCACATTGGAGGTTCAATTTTGGGTGGGTTTGTAGGAATGAAAAAACCTGAAAATCATGGAGTACCCTACTCCTTGACTGAGGAATTTACGAGTGTTTACCGAATGCATCAACTTTTACCTGATAAGCTGCAGCTGAGGAACGTAGATGCCACACCTGGACCAAACAAATCTCTCCCTTTGACTAATGAGTAAGGCATCATTAATATATATATATATATATATATATATATATGGTAAAATACTATATCGCCAAAAATAACATTCGCTATTTGCAAGTATAAATTTGATTATAAGTATAACGCGGCAGCCTGGTGCACTAAACTCCTGCTATGCGCGAGGTTCGGGAAAAGGCCGAACCACAAGGATCTATCTTACGCAGTTTTATTTATTTATGTAAGAGGCTATTTTCATGGCTGAACCCGAGATCTCTTGGTCACATAACAACAACATTTCCAGTTACGCCAAGGCTTCCCTTCATAAGTATAAATATAATGACCAATAGTAATTGAAATATTGAATTTTTTTTGTTTTTCAAATGAAATTAATAGGAGTTTATGATTTTTATTCCAAAGGACTTTATCCTTATTCTTTAAACTAAAATTCATGTATAAATAAAACTTAGCTTTTAAATGACTTTTTAACTTCAATTTCTAGTACATATTTTTCCGACTTCACTCAAATATTTTTCGAACCCCTACAGAATGACTTGTGTTTACAAATGTAATTTCCTTGAAATTGTAGAATTCCCATGGAAGATTTAATTGGGGGAAAAGGAGAGGAGAATTTATCAAGAATCGGTTTTACTAAGCAAATGGTATCAATGGGTCACCAAGCCTGTGGAGCTCTTGAGCTTTGGAACTATCCAGTGTGGATGAGGGATCTTGTTGCTCAAAATGTGGATGGGACTGATAGGCCAGATCATGTTGATCTTGCAGCCCTTGAAAGTAAGTTCATTTAATATTAGCATAAAAAGAATTTTAATTTCAATAATTGATCTTGCAGCCCAAGGTTATTAGACTTAACTTACCATAAACAATAAAATCACAAAATTACATTTTCGCACATTTAATTGATTATGTTTGGATATATGGCAGTTTATAGGGACAGAGAAAGGAGTGTTGCTAGGTACAATGAATTTCGCAGAGGAATGCTGCAAATTCCCATCTCCAAATGGGAAGATTTGACGGACGATGAAGAAGTGATTAATACACTTCGTGAAGTATATGGTGATGATGTAGAAGAATTGGATCTGATGGTTGGAATGGCTGCCGAGAAAAAGATTAAGGGTTTTGCCATTTCGGAGACTGCCTTTTTCATATTCCTCATCATGGCATCAAGGTTGGTAAATAAAAAACAAATAAGTTTTATTTAAATTCTATATAATGATATTAGTATGATAACAATTTTTACTACCCGTGTATTTTAATTTAGTGTAGCACGTAACAGATCCTAATTTTTAAGCATTATCTAGTACAATCTTTTACGTGATCTATTAATGTTTCTATTAGAAGATGAGCCTTCACGTGTAAAGTTGTTGCCATATAATCAGGAGGTCACGATCGAGTTCGAGCCGTGAGAACAGTCTCGTGCAAAAATGCAGGTAAGACTGCGTACAAGAGACCTTTGTGGTCCGGCCCTTTCCCGGACCCCGCGGATAACCGGAGCTTAGTGCATCGGACTGCCCTATTTATCTACTAGGAATACAATCTTTTACGTGATCTATTAGTGTATAAAAGTAAAACCCATTTTTATGATAAGTAATAGAATAGTAAAAATTGTAAATTGACCTGCCATCAATGTATTGATAATATCTTTTTTGTTTAATGTGAGTAGAACTCAAATCTTTTGAAGAATTACTAATAGAAAGTTAATTTGCAAATTTGCAGGAGGTTAGAGGCAGACAGATTTTTCACCAGCAATTACAAGGAGGAGACATATACAAAGAAAGGACTGGAATGGGTAAATACAACAGAAAGCTTGAAAGATGTGTTAGATCGACATTACCCTGAAATAACTGAGAAATGGATGAACTCCAGCAGCGCATTCTCTGTTTGGGACTCTACTCCTGAACCTCACAATCCTATTCCACTCTACTTTCGCGTTCCTCCACAGTAAATCCATCATTCGATTTATTAAAGGCAACCACATATATATATTGGAATTCTACAGCACTATATTCCTGCATATTTTATTAAATTTAAATATGAAAATAATGTGCTTGATTTAATTTTACCTGTAAGTTTGTAATAAGATTTCTTGTTGGAATCTTCAATCTTTACACAAATAGATTATACATTAATTATACATAATTGTACACATATAATACATAAATTATGCATATATTATACATTTTACTAGTTATTTTTACTTTAAACGATTGGGTGGTCAGCCATTTGGGTTAATTCTTGTTTTATTTGGTGAGCCATCTAGTAAAACTGTTTCAATTTGTAATAAGACTGTCTTGGTTCGAACTTCGAAGTTAATGTTGATCATCTATTGTTTCTTAAAAGAAGATTGCAATTCTTTTTACGTTGTATTGAATTTTAATAGTTTATGTAATGAACGATAATTTTACTAATATTGTTCTTCTTATTTGATGTCTTAAATAAAATGTATCAAACTGAATCGAGATAAAAAATAAACCGAGATGATTATATTCAACAAATTAATCGACGTAATAGGGGTATTATCACTTTTAGCTCGCGCCAAAACTATTTATATTTGATAGTCAAAAAAGTGTATAAATTTATATTATTGTATATAATATACAGAATGTATGTATACACAAAAAAATAAATATATTTTATATATATTCTCGACTATTATTTTTATATCGGCTATATAATATCATTTTTTCATCGTAATATCAGTATGATGTAAATTATCTACAAAAACAAATCGAACCAAATAATTACGCGTCTATATACGTCCATTTGACAACATTTACACTTGTAACTCACTTAGCCCCATTGGCCCGGTAAATTAGTCATTATTCATATCTATCATAAGCCTAGTTTATTAACAGCAAAAAAAATGATGTAAGAAGGATCTAACATATCCTTTCCTATCCCAACCTAAAGAACAACAATATTATAAAATGATAAAATAAAACTTTCTCCTTATCCAGCTCAATGAGGAATCTAATTAAGTTGAAAATTTCCTCCTTATAATCTCTAATAAAAATTCATTCCATGTATCAATGGGTCCTGGCAAACACCAATGGATGCAGTCACTAAACCCTTTCATCCATTTATTGCCCCAATAGGCTCCTGGATGTCCATCTGCTCTCATTAACATGGCTCTAGTCACATCCATAATCTCGAAATTGTTCCCAATTTTCTTTCCATCTTTTCTTGCTCTTTCAACTTCTTCAGTTTGAATATTCCTAAACTCCCAATCTTGATCACCAATTTTAACTTCTTCTCTTGCAAATGGTCTTGTTCTATTGCAAAAACCTCCTTCATTCCATGCTCCATTCTCGAATTGACCCGCCGAAAATGTCCTCAAAAGTACAACAATACCTAATCAAAGGCGGATGCAGGATTTTAGCCATGGTTCGCACGAACTTGAGATTTTCGGTTGATATTGTCATTGTAGCAATTTATGTGTAAAATCACCAAAATTTTAATTTCATTATTTTATAAGTGCAGTAAATTTAGCATTAAGAATTTTAATATTTGAACCAATCGAGTTTAAAATCTGAATTCGCTTGTATACCTGAGCATTCCTCACACTCATTTATGTACTTGAAAGCAGCTTGAAATGCTCTTCTAATAGCATATCCTGGGCCAAGATGTTGAACTCCTGCTTCCCCACAATAAATACATCCAATAAGGTTGTCATTTTCATAAAGGTAATTGGGCCGAAGAAACCAATGCCCATCTGAGAAAATAACATAATCTATGTTGGGTAAATGTTGGGTCCAATTTCCATTTAATTTGTCCAAATGCAAGTCAAAGCCGCCGGTGAATGAACCATTGATTACTCTCTCAGTGGCAAAGACGAGGAATTCTGTGCGGAGGACCATAAGAGTGAAGTTGTAACGAGGAAATATCCATGTTCTGAATTTGTCTTCTGCATCTTTGTAAATGTCCATTGGAGTTTCTTCCTGCAATTAATATTTTTCACACTATTAGTGATAAAGTGCAGCTTGGTGCACTAAGCTCTCGCTATGCGTGGGGTCTGTGGAAGAGCCAGACTACAAGGGTTTATATTGTACGCAGTCTTATCCTGCATTTCTGCAAAAGAGAGTATTTTCAAGGCTTGAACTCTTACCTTCTGGTCAAACGACAACAACTTTACCAGTTACGCCAAGGTTCTCTTTCTACTCTATTAATAGTAAACTGAGTTAAACGTGAGTTATAATTATGACGACTTAATTCTCCTAGAAAATGCATAATCAAGTTGCACATTAATAACTTAAGAAAAGCATAATCTGATAATTATTTCTAATTCAAAGTCTTCCTTTGTTGCGTGTAAAATGGTGTATAAATTATTAATCACCGTCTAGGCGCCTACCCAATAATTGTAATACTATAAGCTGTAAAAGACCAAAGAACTTATTGAATGGTAAAGTCATGCGTAAAGTCTAACTATGACCACTAAAGTCTGTAAGAACGATTAATAAATAGTGATGAAATTGAGAATGCATGTATCAGATCTATGAAATTGGCAAGACATGAGAGCAGTTGGAGAATGAGACAAAAAAAGTCCGAAATATAGTTCAACTACTTCACCTAATTTCGCTAGCCAGTGGCCACAAATATTAAGATAAAGGTTAATAAGATTGATAAGTATTTGTCGAAAGAAAATATTAGGATAACGTTGACAGTTATAAAAAGAGTTTATATATATGTACTGCTAATGTAAAAATACTTACACAAGCATGTGAGGTAAAAAGATATTTAGTTAATTTTATTGAATAATATTGATTGATAATCTAGGATTATTAAATAGGAGTAACTTTTTTAATAGATTTATATAAAGAGGGCCTTTTTTTTGTAATTTTCGTATAGTATAAATTGTTTTAGGTGTTCAAAAAATTGAGTTTAATGTTTCGAGAACAAAAAAAAAAAAATACTCCAACTTTTATCGACATAAACAAAAATGTACATTCGCGTCCGAATTAACGGAACTTAGGGGGACAATGTTTGTCTTTGTGCTAGGAGTGTTGGAGTCAAACTGACAACAAAAACCTACTACTACTTTTTATAAGTTAGCTTATTTCAAGACCTTAAAAATGCCAGATAATCAAAAAAGGATGCGCAAAGAATTCGAAGCTCTATGCAACTTAAACCTTCTTTTAAAGTCCCTTCAATAATTATTGATGCACCTAATGACGCAGCTCGAGGCGTGATACGCGATTTACGAATTTTTCCAAATAAATTCTGCTGGGACGAAGGGAGTACATAATTAGGCCATTTATAAAGTTTATATAGACAAGTCTTTATGCTAATATGTAAACTATACTAATCATGTAAAAAATATTTACATTGTCTATGTTTTATACGATATTAAATGAAGTTAATTTATCATAATAAAATAATTATTATTTCTATAATATGTTTATAATGTTTATCATAAAAGAGGGGTTGCTCTGATGTTAAACAACCTCCACTTCCAATCGAGAGGTTGTGAGTTTGAGTCTCCCCAAGAGCAAGGTGGGAAGTTCTTGGAGGGAAGTTGTAATGTTTATCATCAAGATTATTTTTATTGTTTTATGGATTTAGCTTATATGCACCGAAATCTGTTTGAACGTTCTGCCTTATTTACCTAGTTATTAACTAATAGATGATAATTAAGATATACTCCTAGTAATTATCTTTGTAATAACTCGACTATTGAAATATTTTTTACACTATAAATGCGAAAAACATAAACTCTGACGAAATTTAAGTTGTCAATACTAACCGAAGATAAAAGGCAGAGAAGGGACTCCATATGGTTCCGGGCGAGGGAATCGCCTATGAATGCCATCGTCTTTCCTTTAACAAATGCTAAAAATGTTTTTGGATTGAAAATAGGGATCGTACACTTGTCTGGTTTCCATTTCCAATGCATGAATTCTTCATCTTGCCTTCCGTTCAATAAACAATTTTTCGAATGAGGGATTGTTGGACAGCTGAAGTTTGTATAATACAAAGAACTCTTCTGTTGATTTCGAACCCAGCTGCCATTGAACAAGTCACAATCTGATGTATTATTATCTGCAAAAATATTAAGCAAAGGTTAATTGACAATGGTGCATGTCGTCCTCAGATTAATATTCCTCCCATTTCATTATATATGGTAGCTAGCGCGTGTTTTGACACATCAAAAACTATCATTACAACTTATGATCTTTAAGATGCAATTACAACGTGTGATCGAGCATATCATTAAGGGTACATAAAAAGTTTAAAGTCAAAGGAGAGAGTTTTCAAATACCAAAAAAGTAATTATATTGTACGCCGAACTTAACCCTACACGGAGGGTAGAGAGGCTGTTTCCGGGAAAAGTAAAAAGAAAGAGTGTTTACCGGGGCGAAGCTACATACTAAATTTAGTTGCTTCAGCACCCATTAAACTTTACACAACATAGGTATAGTTATATAAGAAATTTGAGACATCTCATATAAAAGGAAAAGAAAGCACCTACCAACCAAAAAATTAAGTAGTTACTACACATCAATAAAAATTAAGCACTCACAAACATAAAATCCTGGATCTGCCACTGAGTGTTTATATTAAATGAATAAAAGGATTCGTAATAAAAATGGAATTATGAACTTGCCAATTAGTAGTTGAGGTTGAATCATGTATAAGGAATTACGAGGACGAGCTGCGTCATCTTCTTTGCTGTTTGTTGTGAAATTGACAATGGGGCTGATGGAAAAATGAAGCATGTAGAAGGTGAAAATCATGGTTAAAAAGAGTGAATAGAACAACAAGAAACCTGGGTTTCCCAAGTTTAAAAACTTCTCTCCCTTGAAAAGATAGTTGTGAACATTCTTTCGTGTCTGTACAGAACACAATTCCATGTCTGTTTTAAGAGTAGCCCACACTAGCTATCAGTAACAAAGACAAAAAGAGAAGAAGTAGATACAAAGCATGAAGACCCAAAGGACGCAAGCTACGTATTGGATCACTAAATAGATTAATTAATTAGGATGAACATGGAAACAGACGGAAAATAAGAGAAAAAGCACTGGCCAAAAAAGCATCAAAAAAGTTTGGGACTCTATATACTACTCCTATTTGACATGGTTTAAAATATATTTTTCCTGTACTTTTTTATGAATGGGCCAGGGGCAGGTTCACTTTTCTTCAGTACAGTACTGATTAGGTAATCCCCAACTGCATCTCACTGCACTACTGCGCTAAAGCACATGATCAGTTGACCCAACATTTTTTTTCCTTCTTTTGATTCTCTTTTGTTTTGTTGGAGCTATTGCTCGTTTGATTTGATGACTCGAATTAGGGGTGGACATCGGTCGGTTTGGTTCGGTTTTGAATATTATCAATTTTGCCTATCGGTTATCGGTTTACAAATATCATAACCCGATAACCAAACCGATAAGATATTGGTTATCGGTTAATCGGTTATATATTGTTATCGGGTAACCGATAACATAAAACAACTAAAAAAATTTGCAATATATAATACAAAGAAAACAAACTGCCAGAACGTGTAAACTGCCAACTTTTGTTGTTTCTTAACAAAAGCACGCTCCCACTTCTGTGCATTATCTACTGATATCTGACGGAGAACTGGTGGGTGAGTCTTGCGTCTTGACTCTTGGGGGCTGCGACGGAAACAAGAATAAGAATTGAGAGACAAACGACTGAAGATTGAAGAGTGAAGAGAGAATTAGGAAAATAAATAACCCTAGTATATACTTAAGGGTAAATTAGTATATTACATCATTCTTATTGGGTTATCGGTTTTTACCCAATAACAAAAATGCAAACCGAGCCCGAACCGATAACCCAATAAAAAATAATTTAACCCTTACCGAACCGTTAACCCAATAACCCAATACCGATAACCTAATAAAGAATTAACGGTTCGGATTATCAGTTTTACCCGATATATGCCCACCCCTAGCTCGAATCCACGATCATGGAGTTGTAGGTAGGATCATAACCATACGAGCAACCCTAGTTTATTTCGTCCCTTTCATACCAAATTTAATTTGGTGCAATAATATCCAGCTCTTTCTACATCGGAACTTCCTCTTATCGATACAAGTTTTTTCATTGTCACTCTAAGGTCAACTCAATTAGACACCTCAATTAGATGCTTATATACCTAGTCTAGTGAAACTCTAAATTGAATTAGCCTAAAATTAAAAGCAGTAAAAGTTCGCTTTTGCCTACAATATTACCTGCATGTTTGCATTAATATTTTTATACTGTATATCTATTAGGTATAGTCCTGATTTTTATCATATTTGATTTTTCTATCTCTTAAAGGAAAGTGCAACATATTTATCATAGTTGGGTTTTCTTTTTTGTAAAAGGAAATTATAAATCTCTCATATTTGGCTAGTCCCTCTTCTTGTCGGAAAATGTTTGGACTTCTATAAATTGAGGATCCTTCATTCTCATTCAGTAGCATCCACAATGTAGTCATATGGGGTTTCAGAGTCGTGTTTAGAGGGGAGAACTTTACGGGACAAGTATTATTGTGTCACCTTGTGTTTGCCTCTTCGTGAGGTTGTTCTCTCGATATTTTGTACTCTCTTTTATATAGTGGATTGCTCATTTCCGCCCTTGGACGTAGGTCAATTGACCGAATCACGTTATATGTTTGTGCCTCTTTTGGTATATTTCTCTTTTGTTGTATGATTTATCGTCGTTCAAGGTTTGTTTTGCTAGCTTTCGCACGACACCTAATTTTTTCCGGTCCTAACAATATCTTCGCCTGTTTAATTCTTAAAGTTAATGTTGTTCATCCTATATTTATTGTTCCTTAAAAAGAGAATTTCAATTTTTACAGTTATATTTTGATGTGTGATAATCATGTGTAACAAACTGAGAATTCTAGTAATATTAGTCTTCTTATTTGACGTCTTAAAACTACAGTACCGAAAAGTTGACTGAACTTAATTGAAACTGAAGAAAAACCGAAATGGTTGAAAAAGTCTCAGTGAGATTAATTATTTAAATTCCTCTGAGGATATTCAGAGGAAAGTTGGGGATTTCTTAGGATTTTTAATAGAAGTTCATTCCATGTACCAATGGGCCCTGGGCAAGCACCAATGTGTGCAGTCACTGAAGACCTCTATTGATTTTTAATCATAATATCATTAGCAATTTAGCATAGCTCTATTATTTCAAAACTTTTCCCTATTTTCTCTCCATATTTCCTTGCTCTTTCAACTTCTTCCATTTGATTTAATATTTCTGAATTGCCAATTTTGATCACCAATTTTAATTTTCTTCTCTGGTTAATGGCATTGTTCTATTGCAGAAACCTCCTTCAAACGGTGCTTCATGCTCAAATTGACGCGCGGTTAATGTCCTCAAAAGTACAACAATACCTGATCATAGGTGGATGCAAGACTTTTAGTAATCATGAGTTCAACAAGACATTGGCGGATTCAGAATTTCAAGAAAACTGGTGCATTATTAAAAAAAGTGAATCTAAAATTTATATTTAACGGGTTCAACTTTTAGATTCTTACCACGAATCCATAATTATTTGAAAATTATAGGTTAAAATTTAAAAATTTCTTGCAATTTGAGTAATTTTTAATATATATATCTATACTCCATATACTAGAATCATTGAACCATGTTATATCATCCACTAGTATTGGTTTTAATTATATAAGATTTCGCACTGACAACGAGAAATCAAGGATTTAAAGTGTTAGATTTGGGGATTTGAATAAATAAACCAAATTGAAAATGGAAAGGATTTAATTAAAACACAAGATGGAACACTAGACATATTTAGAAACTGAGATTTGAATCTTTAACTTCACTTGTAAAGGTACACACAATTATCATTGCACCATGAGATTCTTTGAGCTTGAGTGCACATGTATATTTAAGGAATTTTTCAAAAAATATAACATTATTATACATGATATACAGAGAGCACCATGAGTTCACATGGTTCATGCCCCGACACAAATACGCCCCTGAGCTAAGCCAAGTATTCTAGACACAGAACACAAAGACACATAAAAAATCACTAATATTTTGACAAAATATTCCGCTAAGAATTTTAAAAATTAAACCTATCAAAGTTTAAAATTTGAATACACTTATGTACCTGCGCATTCCTCACATTCATTTATGTACTTGAAGGCAGCTTGAAATGCTCTTCGGATGGCATATCCAGGGCCAACATCTTGAAGACTTGAACCCCTGCTTCCTCACAGTAAACACATCCAATAAGTTTTCCATTTTCATTGGAGATTGGGCCGAAGGATCCACTGCACATCTGAGAAAATAGTAAAAATAGCATGGGCTAGCCAGTTTTTGGACTGGACAATCAAAAATAGTCAGTGTTTGCAAAGTTATTGAAAAATAGCCAATATTTTGCTGCAACACGGAAAGTTCCAGCATAATATACTGGAGATCGGTGCACATGTGTATGAACTCCAACACGCGGAAAGTTCCAGTATAATATATTGGAGAGTGGAACACCGGTGCTCCAATCTCCAGTATATTATGTTGGACCGGAATATTATACTGGAACTCCAGTATATTATACTGGAGTATTTTTCTGGATTTTAAACAGTGTTTTCGTTCATATTGATCTTTATATGAAAAGTGGGTAAATTTCGATTACTTTTAAAACTATGGCTATTTTTGAATGACCACTTATAAATCTGGTTATTTTTTATTTTCTCCCGAGAAAATAGCATAACCTATGTTGTGTAAATATTGGGTCCAATTTCCATTTAATTTGTCCAAATGCAAGTCAAAGAAGCCGCCCGTGAATGAACCATTGATTACTCTCTCAGTGGCAAAGACAAGGAATTCTGTGCGGAGGACCATGAGAGTAAAGTTGTGACGAGGAAACATGTCATGTTCTGAATTTGTCCGCGGCATCCGAGTAAATGTCCTTTGGAATATCTTCCTGCATGTTTTTCACACACCTAGTGAAGAACTGAGCTTATTGTAGAGATTGTTGAAGAAGCCTGTGGGCCACTTGAAATATTCAGCCCAACTCAGGATTTTATTGTTGGAAAAATGACACTTTATAGATAATAGCCGAAAAAATATATAATGTTTGTATATTTTTTGTATATATATACATTCTGTATGTTTGCAAAAATTATACAAGTTTTATACACTTTTTCAGCTAGGAGATGTAAATAGTTTCTGGTACGGGCTAAAAGTGATAATACCCCTTTATTGTTAGCATTACTGATCATAGTGGTAAAGATGACACCAGGTAGCCGCTTTGAGCGTAAAAATAGCGCGGGCTAGCCAGTTTTCAGACTACTTATTCAAAAATAGCCAGCGTTTGCAAAGTCATTAAAAAATAGCTACTATTTTGCTGTAACACGGAAAGTTTCAGCATAATATATTGGAGATTAGTGCTTTTGTGTATGAACTTCCAGCATATTATGCTGGAACTCCAACACGCGGAAAGTTCCAGTATAATATGCTGGACCGGTATATTATACTGGAACTCCAGTATATTATACTGAAGTTCCAGTATACTTATGCTTGAACTCCATTATATTATACTGGAGTATTTTTCCTGATTTTGAACAGTATTCACATTTATTTTTAAATGAAGTGGCGAAATTTCGATTACTTTTAAAATTGTGTCTATTTTTGAATGATCACTTGTAAATCTGACGATTTTTTAATTTCTTCCGCTTTGAGCATCCTCTATTTAAAATAATATTTAAATTTAGCCACTTGAAATATTCAACCCAAATCAAGCATTCCATTGTTAGAACGGAGAATTATTAATCATAGTGCTAAAGATGGCATCAAGTAGCAGCTTTGAGCATTTCTATGTAAAATACAGTGCCTCATTTCTAAGAATAATTTAAAATTTAACCAATTTTCCATTGAGTCTTTTTCTCATAACCGTTCCACGCCTGCAACTTGCTTTTCAATTTCCAAAACCTACCAGATAAGGCCCGTAACTAACTATTTAGATGAATAACGCATCATAGAGATTAATCATGCCATGACTGTCACGACCCGGATTTTCCACCCTCGGGAGTCGTGA